CCATAGGTGTAGGTCAAGTTCATCAAATTGTATCAGATTATTCTTTTTTCCTCCTTTTTCTTCTTCTAGTTGAGCTCTTGATTATCCAGTTATTGAAGCCAGGTCGAGTGGGTATTATCTGCAAGTGTGGGTGTTCTTGTGTACACATGCCCTCTCTTCTTATCAGCTGGACACTTCACTTTCTACTGTAGTCCTCTGTGGCTATGTCACTGACTCTGGGCCCAAGAGTCCCCAGGTCTTGACACACTGCTGGCCAACCAGATCTCCACCAAGGTTCACAGGAGTCTATTGAGCATTGTAGGGCTTAGCTCACTGCTTCATTGCTGTTTTTCCCTTACTTCCCCTTATCAGTGATGAGCGTGGTCACCAATCAGAGCGTGTATTCCCACTGAGTCTTAGTCTTGGAAGAGGGTTTGCACTGAGGTGAGGGGACCTGAAGTAAGTAGCTTTTAAATGGAATTTAAAAATGATTAATATATTTTTTTCATCTTCTTAATATAAGTGAGTATTTCCCCCCAAAATTAGTTAAGAGAAATGTTCCATCTGTTCATCAATAAAATTATAGTATTCCATAGCAAGGAGTCCATTTGATCAGAGTTTGACACACTTTGCGTAACAGTTCCTGACAGAGACCTGAATCATGGGAACACTTGTCAGAACCCCTCTCTGCTCTGTAGAAAAACTACATAACATTCAAGTTTGTTCTTGGCTAACTGGGCAAATGAGATGCAATTCTCTGGCTGGGTCCCAAGTTAGATTCTGATATAATACATGGTCTATAAACCTGCCTCAATCTGAATTGTAAGTTTTTCGCTCTGTGCATGTAAATTCTAAAATGAAAAGTAAGCTCTACCTCAGTAGGAACTTAAAAAAATAAAATAGTATTAAGCATTGGGGTTTACTGAAATAAATATTGGGAAGAAATAATTGCTTTTTAGAACATTTTCATTATGCATGCATACCACTTAATTTCTGTGCCCATCCATATTAATTGATTTACTTTTCATTTCCTAGAAGACATCTGTTAAAGACATGGCTGACTTCTCTGTCTCTACCCAAGATGTGACTCTTGATGATAAACAAGGTATGAAAAGAAAGAGTTTTCTCCCTGTAAAGATGTTCTACCTCTGTGTCTTCATGTCTTGGGCTGTGTGACTTCCTGACCTTTTGAGGACCGTTTTAAGGATGTGCACACATTTGGACTGACGACTCGTTACTACAGAACCCTAATTCATTAGGTGGTAATGCGAGTTTTAGTGGCCAAAGCCCCCCAGTTCATTGCCCTTTGACTCACTGCTGACCCTTAGGCCACTGTGACACCTTGCATTGGAATCTGATGAATAGATGAATTAGAAAATGGCTCACTGATGCAAGAGTTGAGAACTTCACATCTTGTGTTGACAGATATAATCCCAGAGTGTGACAAGAAGTGCACCTTTGTCCATAGCCTAGTCCATGAGGAAGTTCTCTTCTGGCCTGGCTTTCTGGCCCTGGGTCTATCTGCAGCTGGGCGGGGTGTGATGTGGAACCAAACAACAATCTGCCTGTCTTAGGGGCTGGGGTGTGTGTGGGAGAAGCTTTCTACTATCTAGAACAGCAGGAGGGGACCCCCTTCCCCGCCTCCACAGTATTTCTGTTTAATGGGTTGTCTACTAGGTCCTTCCTCCAACTTTATTCAGTCCTGAAAAAGCTGAATGGAGGCTGGCATGTTTCATCACCTTTAATTTAAAGATGAGTAAATCGAAGCTCAGACAGTATGAATCATTTGCTTAGTTAGTAAGAAAAAGAATTCAGACAACAATTAACACTTTTGAAATCTCAAGCCAGTCTTCCTTTTAGTGGTGCTTGTTAAGTGCTGTCGAGTTCGTTTTGACTCATATCAACTATGTATGAGGTTTCCGAGGAGCATTTAGTAGATTTGAACCACCAACCTTACTGTTAGCAATCCAATTCACTACCCATGAAGAACACACTCAACATTTTTCAAGTTGTAAGAAATAAAGATAACATTCAAGCTTCAAGTTGTAATATTGAAGGGATTCTATGGGCAAAATGATGCAGAAAACATCAAAAGAAGAGGGAAGGAATACATGTGACTGACTCAGCGGTACCTAACAACAATCACAGCAACAATCCGTGAATAAAAAGAGTCACATCTGACGAATCTGCACATCAGTGAAGCTTTCTTCAGCTTTTGTTGTTGATACCTGCCATTGATTTCAGCTTTGCATTGGAAACCTTATTGGAAGATTAAGCTTTCCATTATGAAACAGTAACTGTGTATTCTCCATTTGAAATACTTGCTCAGGAGAGGCCGGCAGACCTGGCTGTAGTCTGCAGCAGTGGAGACTCTGTTCCCTCTTTACCTGGTGGATATGAACCTGCACATTGGGGTAACCCTGAGTACCTGCTGTGGTGCTGTGGTAGTGTGCTGGACTGCAAAGCCAGTTTGAACTGCAAGGTCGGCGGTTCAAGCTCACCATTTACTCCTTGGAAACTCTATACAAGGTCGCTATGAGTCGGAACTGACACGACAGCACTTAACAACAACAACTTGAAAAGTACTGAAGTCTGGGCCCCAACCTCAGAGATCTGATGTGATTGTTCCTTGTGTCAAGTGTGAAAGAAGTAGTGGCCACTAAAACGACTTCAGCTCATGCAACCCCATGGGTGTCACAGTAGAACAGTATTTTGTAGGGTTTTCAATGTCTGACCTTTCAGAAGTACATCACCAGGCTTTTCTTTCGAGGCACTACTGAGTGGTCTCCAATCTTTCAGTTAAGCATGTTAACCGTGTACACCATGCAGGGACTCCCATCAGGAATGAAAAGGGGGAACTTTCTGATGTTGCTGTTGTTATTGTTAAGTGCTGTTGAGTCAGTTTTGACTCATTGCAATCCAGTATATGGTTTCTGAGGAGCGGCTGGTGGGTTTGAACTGCCAAACTTGTGGTTAGCAGTCCAGTGCTTATCCTACAGCACCACACCAGGACTCCTGATAATTCCTAGTAATACTCTTGCTAGCCGCTAGAGGTGCTCTGCCTGGAAAATTGAGAATACAGCATTGTTCTCTGTATGAGAAAAACCAATTTCCTTACTTCAGGAAGTCTTTAGTTAAGTGAATGCTCAACCCTATGGAAACTATTTTTATAGGAACTTCTATTGACTTGGAAAGCCCATTTTTGTAAATGATAACTGGGGTTTGGTTTACTGTAATCTGTCTCCAGTAAAAATTTATAGTTCTTTTTCTTTTCTTCCCTTTCATCTTATTCTCCAAAACAAAACATCAGTAGCTTCAATAAATACTACGGATGATGCCTCACCAAAGGATGTGTCTGAGGATCCAGGTAGGAGCAAAACTTTGTTTCAATACACTTTCTCTGCTCTTGGTCTGATTTGAACAACTACAGTTCCAGCGAGTAGAAGATTGCGGTCTCGGAGGGTGAGCTGGTTTTTCTCTAAATAGTTCTCTTGCATGTTATTAGAAGAAACCATTGTGAGTTGTTTTTACATGCTCCCTCATTTCTGGTGTGAGAAGAGGATGACATTCCCAATTTAGGGTTTCATTGGAGCTGGGAGGATTACAGTGAGACCTGGTGATCCCTGGAGAGTTAGGAGCTGTGAGAATTCCCAAACCAAATGGTGACTTTGGAAACTGGGTCATGTTCAGCCATCATTTTGGGGTGGTGGTGGTGGAAGGACATGTTCTGTTTGTATAGTTCAAGTCTGAAGTTGGTTCTTTCTACCTCAGATTTCTGAAGTCAAACTAGATGCATCCTGGTTTTTGTAAATTTCAGTTCACTTCAATTTGGAGAGTTAAAACTGGTGCTTCTTCCACAGCCTTTGAAGCAAATAACCATTTGTTTTCTGGAGGAACTTCAGACTTCATTTGTCATAGCCCTTCATTGACTAAGGCATGGTACCATCAAACCAAACCTACACAGTACATGAAGCATGTCTGAATTTGTTTTTCACATTATGCCTACAAGCATGCTCTGTGCCTTCTTAATTGTCCTCGCCACTGCTGCCCCTTCTTGAAGGCCTGGAGATTTCCAGCGACTTCCATTCCATGTAAGCCTTGACAGTTGTGGGAAGTTGCCATTCTTCCACTTCTTTTCCCCCTTCATGAGAAGTGATGATTCGTTAGTTGCTTCTGGCTGAATTCACAACACAGTGTGCCCTGGCCACATTTGCAGGTATTCACACATCCCAAGTGACAGGACTATCTTTTAGGGGCTTCAAGGCTGATGGAAGCATGAGCTTAAGACAGTGCTCTTCAGCCTCTTCTAGTCTGAAACCGGTAGACATTTACCAAGACCTGCCTGAGAGATCTGTTTGCAGCCAGAAGGAGAAGCAGTCCCCTTGGCATTAATGCTAATAATGAGTGGTGATGGGGAGGCGCTGTGTTATCAGGGAATGGGGCTATGTCTTGTGATCTAATTTTTCATAAGCTGGACCCTTTGAACTGCTGAAACTGTATGTGCAACGGACTTCAAAATGTTTGTGGAAAAATGGAATTAAAAGAGAACAGAATTTTTTTCACAAACTGTAAAAAAGTCATATAAGCGAAGACCAGTAGAATTCTTAACAACGTAACATTCCACCCTAATTCAACAGAGCACACTACATAGGAGTGATGTTTCTCTTGATGCCTTTGGGTCACACTGAGTTTCACCGCTTACACTGTGCTTTCCAGACTGCTGCTGGGGATTTTAGTGCCTTTACCAGCTAGCACCTAGTGGCCTTCTTAGGATAGAATAGTTCTCTCCATCCATCACCTGCTTCCATTGGTACCTTCTTTGCTATTCTGTTGTTGTTGTTGTTATGTGCCATCGAGTCATTTCCGACCCATAGCGACCCTGTATAGGGTTTCCGAGGGTGTAAATCTGTACGGGAGTAGAAAGCCTCATCTTTCTCCCGCGGTGCAGCTGGTAGTTTCGAACCGCTGACCTTAAGGTTCGCAGCCAGGAACTAAATTTCTAAGCTTGAAAACTGTTGTTGTTATTAAGTGCCCGTTGAGTTGGTACCGACTCATAGCAACCCTGTATAGGGTTTCCGAGGAGCAGATGGTGAGCTTGAACCGCCGACATTGAGGTTCAAACCAACCTTGCAGTCCACTGCATTAACCCATAGTGCCACACCTTATTGATGCATTCTATAACAAGAAGTGCAGCCAGAGTGCTCCTTAGAGGCCAAGATGGCTAAACTTCGTCTCTCATACTTTGTACATATTGTCAGGAGGGAACAGTCACTGGAGAAGTATATCATGCTTGGTAAGGTGGAGGGTGGGAGAAAAAAAAGAGGAAGACCCCAAAGAGATGGATTGGCCAGGTGGCATCATTGATGGCGTCAAGTGTGGTTGGCCCAGGATCGGACATTGTTTTGTTCTGCTGTGTATGGGGTCGCTATGAGTCGGTTCCGACTCGATGGCACCTGCTGACAACAACAACATAACAGCGATATTTTAGAATTCTAAAATACTCTTCATATTCTTTGCACGTTTACCTTCTTATCTCTCCCTGTGAGGTATGGGTACTACATTTTTATTAGGCTCATTCTGTGCGTGAAGAAACTGAGGTTCCGGGAGGTCACTGTGAGTTCATGCCATAGTCAGGAGGAGAACCTAGGCCTCAGGACTCCCGCTGCCCACTCCACTGTTTGTCATCATCAGGCTGTTTATCTCTTATGGACAGGGCTCACCCCTCCTTCCACACCCATCCCTACCCCAGCAAGAAGAAAAAGATAATGGCAGTTAACAGGGGAATGAAAACGGTCCCCCTAGTTTGCTTTGGGGACAGTATTTTAACTCAGACAGGACTTTATGTATCCACAAACTCCTTGAGAGGAGGGGGCTTGAGGGAGAAGAGGGGCACAGAGTAAGCAGCGGGCAGCCTGCTTAGGAGGCTCCCCCAGCCCTATGATGAGTCCATCCGGCTCTGGTCACCTGGCCCAAGGCAGACCCCATGGCTGGCAGGAGCAGCTGCCCTCCAGGCCCTATTCTTTGCTGCCTGGGATTTGTAAGAGGGGAGGTAACGTTTCATTTACATCCAAGTGCATGTACATGACATGGGGCAGGAGGGGCCTCAGACACACTGGGCTTTCTGTGCTCGCTTTTGAGGCTGTGGCTGTGTTGCAAAGGGTTGAAATCGAGAGATGTGTGTGTTTTTAGTACAATAAGCCAGAGTGTTTAGGTTGGGAAAAGACCTCTCTTGTTCAGCTGACCCTGTTGAAGGGAATATGTATGGGTGGTGTACACTGTTCTTCGTTAGCATTTCTGAAGGTTTCATCTCCTTTTTGGCCCTGCTTATCTAACCCCCCAGGGGTTTTAATAATCATCATCAATTCAGGCTGCTTCATTAACAGAAGGGTGTTTATCTTTGGGATAATACAGGGCCAGATTGTCTTTTTTGAAGGATTTGTGCCCACAGAGGTATATGTCACTAAGAGTCCATAATGTCGTTGTTAGGTGACTTTGAGTCGGTACCAACTGATAATGACATTATGCACAACACAGTGAAACAATGCCTGTGAGCCAATCTCACAAACATTGCCACACTTGAGCCCATTGCTGCTGCCACTGTGTCAATCCATCTCATCAGGGGTCTTCCTCTTTTTCCACTGACCCTTCATTTCACCAAGCATGATGTCCTTCTCCAGGGACTGGTCCCTTGTAATAATATGTATGAAATATGAGAGACAAAGTCTGGCCATCCTGACTCCGAAAGACCAGCCTTGCTATATTTCTTCCAACATCGAGTTTGTTTATTCTTTTGGAAGTCCATGGTACTTTTAATATTCTCCTCCAACACCATGACTTAAAAGCATCAATTCTTCTACTGTCTTCCTTATTCACTGTCCAACTTTCATATGCATATGAGGCTATTAAAATTACCATGGCTTGAGTCAGTCACACCTTAGTCCTCAAACTGACATCTTTGTTCCTGAACATTTTAAAGAGGTCTTGTGCAGCAGGTTTGCCTAATGCAATATATTGTTTGGAGTCCTGGTGTGGTGATGCAGGTTAATGTGCTGGAATGCAAAGTCGGTTTGAACTGCAAGGTTGGCAGTTCAGCCTCAGAAACCCTATACAGGATTGCTATGAGTTGGAACCGACTTGACAGCACTTAACAACGACAACAACAATATACTGTTTGATTTCTTGACTGCTTCTTCCAAGCAAAATGAAGTTTTTGAGAACTTCAATCTTTTTCCATTCATCATGATGTTATTTATTGGTCCAGTGGTGAGGATTTTTGTTTTCTTGTTATTGAGGTACACCAATATTGTAGGCTGTGGTCTTTGATCTTGATCAGTAAGTATTTAAGTCCTCTTTACTTTCAGCAAGCAAGGTTGTATCATCTGCATATCATACGTAGTTAATGAGTCTTCCTCCAACCCTGATGCCATGTTTCTCTTCATAGAATTTAGCTTCTCAGATCATTTGCTCAGCATACAGGTTGAATAAGAATGGTGAAAGGATACAACCCTGCTGCTTACCTTTCCTAATTTAAAACCATTCAGTGTCCCCTTGTTCTGTTCAAACAAGTGCCTTTTGGTCTATGTACAGATTTCTCATGAGCATAATTAAGTGTTCTGGAGTACTCATTCTCTGCAGTATTGTCCAGAGCTTGTCACGATCCACACAATTGAAAGCCTTGGCATAGTTAGTACAGCACAGGTAAGCATCTATTCTCTGTTTTCAGCCAAGATCCATCTGACGTCAGTAATGATATCCCTTGTTCCATGACCTCATCTGAATCTGGCCTGAATCTCTGGAAGTTCCCTGCCATTGTACTGCTGAAGCCATTTTAAAATTATCTTTAGCAAAATTTTACTTGCGTGCAATATTAATGATATTTGTTGTTTGATGACTTCCGCATTCTATTATGTCACCTCTCTTTGGAATGGGCACAAATACAGATTTCTTCCAATCAGTTGGCCAGGTAGCTGCATTCCAAAGTTCTTGGCATAGATGAGTGAGTGCCTCCAGTGCCACATCCGTTTGTTGAAAGATTCCAGTTTGTATTCCATCAAATCCTGGACTCTTAATCTTTGCCAATGCCTTCAGTGCACATTGGACTTGTTCATTCAGTATCATTGGTTCTTGATCATATGTTATTTCTTCAGATGTTTGAACATCAGCCATTGCTTCTTTTGATGCTTTCTACATCATTCAATATTTTCCCCATAGAATCCTCCAGTATTTCAAGTTGATGTTTGAATTTTTTATTCAGTTCTTTCAGCTTGAGAAATGCTGAGCATGTTCTTCCCTTTTGGTTTTCTAACTCCAGGTCTTTGCACATTTCATTATAGTATTTGACTTTGTCTTCTCAAGCTGCTCTTTGAAATTTTCTGTTCAGCTCTTTTATCTCCTCATGTCCTCCGTTTGGTTTAGCAGCTCTACACTGGAGAGAAGTTTCAGAGTATTTTCTGACATCCATTTTGGTCTTTTCCTTCTTTATTGTCTTTGTAATGATCTTTTGTTTTCTTCTTATATGATGTTCTTGATGTCATCCCACAGCTCCTCTGGTCTTGGGTTTTTAATGTCTGATGTATCAAATCTGTTCTTGAGACAATCTCTAAATTCAGGTGGGATATGGTCAAGGTCATATTTTGGCTCTTGTGAACTTGTTTATTAGCAACTGATGATTTGTTCCAGTCTGCCTCTGGCCTTGTTTTGGCTGATGATATGGCTGATGATAATGGAGCTTTTTCACCGTCTCTTTCCACAGATGTAGTCAGTTTGATTTCTGTGTATTCCATCTGGTGAATTCCATGTGTATAGTCATCTTTTATGGTAAAAAAAGATATATGCAATGAAGACGTCATTGGTCTTGCTAAATTCTGTCATGTGATCGCTAGCATTGTTTGTGTCACCAAGGCCATATTTTCCAAGGACTGATCCTTCCTTTTGGTTTTCAGCCTTTGCATTCCAGTCACCAGTAATTATCAATACATGTTGATTGCATGTTTGATCAATTTCAGACTGAAGAAGTTGGTTGTTGTTGTTGTTGTTAAGTACCGTGGAGTCGGTTCCAACTCATAGTGACCCTACATAGGGTTTCTGAGGCTGCAAATCTTTACAGGAGCAGAAAGCCTCATCTTTCTCCCGCGGAACAGCTGGTAGTTTCGAACTGCTGACCTTGAGGTTAGTAGCCTGATTCGTAACCTCTATGCTACCAGAAGTTGGTAGAATTCTTCAATTTCATTATCACTGGCTTTAGTGATTGGTGTGTAAATTAATAATAGTTGTATTAACTGGTCTTCCTTGTAGGTGTATGGATATTATCCTATCACAGACAGCATTGTACTTCAAGATCTTAAAATGTTCTTTTTGATGATGCATTCGATGCCAGTCCTCTTCAATTTGTTATTCCTGGCATAATAAACCAGGTGATTGTCAGATTCAATATGACCAATACTAGACAGCTCAGTAATGCCTAGGATATTGACCTTTATGAGTTACATTTCATTTTTTACAACTTGCAATTTTCCTAGATTCATACTTCATACATTCCATGATCTGGTTACTACTGGATGTCTACAGCTGATTCTCCTCATTTTGAGTTATGCCCCATCAGCAAATGAAGGTCCTGAAAGTTTCACTCCACTCTTATCAATCATCACGGTCAACTCTACTTTGAGGAGGCAGCTCTTCCTCAGTATATTTTGTGTGCCTTCCACCCTGAGGGGCTCATCTTCTGGCACTGTATCCAATGATGTTCTGGTACTCTTCATCATGTTTCAATAGTCAGTATTCTTGTGCTATCTGAATGTTCTACTGCTATTCATAAGGTTTTCAGTGGCTGAGTATTTGGAAGTAGTCTGTCTCTCTTTCCTCCTAATCTGTCTTGCTATGGAAGCTTAGCTGAAACCTGTCCACCATGGATGACCCTCTTAGTATTCAAATACTGGTGGCATAGCTTCCAGAATCACGGCAACATGCAAGCCATCACAGTATAAAAGCTGGCAGACAAGTGGTGGAGTGTCCATGATCCCTTCTGTGAAATAGGACATTATGTGATTTGGATGTTATGTGAACTCCATCTTAAAACCTTATGGGAACCCACTTCTGGTTGTCCTTGTTATTGCTGTTGCTGCTGCTGCTTAGCTGCTGGTCAAGGCTGAAGAAATAGACTCCAGTGGCGGTGGCTGAAAGGGTTGGAGGCTGGAGCGTGGCCAGTGGAAGTGATTGGGGAGGTAGTGGCGCATGCTCAGCCCTGCTTGCGGTTCTGATTGGCTGAGCAGCAGAAGCAGCCTGGGCCTGCAGCCCCCACTACTGTTGCTTCTTGACTGCTGGGCCCAGAGCCTTGTCCTCTGTCTCACTTGTCTGTGTCCCATCCTACCCATTGTTCACTTGTGCAAGAGTCTGGGTTTAGGGTCTTTAAAACCATTCATTAGTGGGAAATAATAAGCAAAAAGAACCTGACTTTCCTTAAAAAAGGAAAACATAAGAGTTCACAGACATATATGGTTGGATTTCTGCCCAAGTGGATTCTAAGTGATACATACCAATAAATAAACTACATTCTCCTTGTTCCTAGTTTTACCTACTGCCTTCAAGTCGCTTCACCCTTCAGAATGAATTTTTATGACATTTTATGATGAAAAAATTTCAGTGTGTGCAAATCCTAGCATAGCTAGTGCTTTATAAAGTTGCCTCCCATAGAGGTCTGGAAACATAAGAAGATTCCTGTTTTTCAAAAAATGTTTCTAACTACTCTTGACAATTTGTGATGTGGTGGTGGTGGTGGGGCACTAAGTAGGCTCCACAGGTGTTTATTGTGAGCAACTTAGTTTATGATTGAAATTTGATAAGAAGCTGTACACTTGGCAAACATTTTGAGATTTCATTCCGTCATATTTGCGGTACGATTTGGTTTTAGAGATACGGGTTTAAGACTGTTTTCTTATTGGAAAAGCAACATAGCTCACTTCAGCTGATTTGTGGACTTTGATTTCTTATGGCTGTGCTGTTCTGATAGTATATTTTAAGACCTACGGAGCCCAAGAGATTTCCTAGCTTTCAGGAGAGACTAGTTTCAAATTGATTACTAAGCTAACCCGTCTTAGTCAAGATGCTCTCAAGTATTATATATATTAAAAGAAAAAAAAAAGTGGAAAGGTGGTCTCTTCAGAGTGGAATTTCCTTATTAATCAACTTAGATTTAAGAATGGTTTCTAATGAAAGAAAAAATGTTGGTTTTGCTTTCCTTTTAATGGTGCCTTTTGTGAGCATGTGGACGGCATCCAAGTTCTCCACACAGACGCCTGTGCCTCATGTTCGCCTGCTGATATGTTCTATACTAGCCCTGGTGCTGCATGTAAACCAGTTTCACTGCAGAAATGAAATCCAAGCAAACAACAAATAATCTTTGTTTCAGCAACTCCTAAGGATTCCAACAGTCTCAAAGCAAGACCAAGATCCAGGTAGTGTCTGTTTACTTTCTGCTTTAATGTCCTTTGTGCCATGTCCCAAACCCCAACTCAAAACTCAACCCATGCTTGCCTTTTCAGTGTAATGTATTAAAAAAGTATGAAAATGCATAACTACATTTATATAAATAAACATATAAAACATAAGTACCAACTATATATGTATAGTTTTTAATGAGTTGTTTTTTGAGAGACTTGTCTCCTGATTTGATTTGGAGGTTTTAAAAATTATTATTATTATTACTACTCCCAATTGGGTGTCAGCCAAAGGGAATCAAATTATTTTAAATTCCTTCTTTAAGATAATAAAATTTTGTTGGGAAAGAGGGGGAAAAATCACCATTTTAGCATTACTATATTCATCATTTTGTTGGTTCTCTGCACATTTATGAGGTAAGTCACAAAGTATTACTATAAAACCATTGTTGTTGATGTTAAGTGCCTTCGAGTCAATTCCAACTCACAGGGACCCTGAATAGGGTTTCTGAGGAGCAGCTGGGAAATTTGAACTGCCGACCTTGCAGTCCAAACAGACCCTGAGGTCCAGTGCTTGGTCCCACAGTGCCACACCAGAACCTAGAAACCTTTATTAAGCAAAAATATCAAAGTGGGAAGCTATTCTGTTTAAACATCTCCTCCATCTAGGTCTTCTACCTTCAGAAGGTGGTATTTCCATCTCTAACCCTTCCCTGAAGAATTCTGCATCCTTCTTTTTGCACATCAAAATGGCAGTTTTGTCATTCTCAGGGGACTCAAATCATGTTCCTTTTCAATGTTCTTTGAGTTTGGGGGACAAAAAAGTCTGAAAGGGCAAGATTAGGACTGTAGGATAGATGGGGTAAGGTTTCTCAAGGAAATTCTCATTGGACCGTTGGAGATTGAGCAGGTACATTGTTGTGATGGGAAAATGTCCTCAGTGTAACTTTCTTGGTCTTTTTCTCATCAATACAATTTTCAATTTTCATATAACTTTTACATTGTAAGACCCTGTGGTTTTCCTGTATCCTTGGAGAAATTCTATCAAGATTACCCCTTTGGAGTTCCCAAGATCAGTCACTATATCTTCTGAGCTGATCTCTGCCTTGAATTTAACTGGTCCACCAGATCTCCTTGGAAGACATTGTTTTGATTGGACCTTTTATTTATTTTTAAAGACACTCAAATGAGACCAAGACAAGTATATTGTGGAGGGAACAAGCACATCTACACATATCTATAGCCATCTACTGATCACAGAGACATGCTTAAGCACTTTTTGTCTGGAACAACGTCATCATCATGCACGTGTGAACTGGAACCCTAGTAGCAATACTTTTTGACTTAGCCTTGAATTTAAATTGCTCGTAGTTACACGATCTCACTTATTTGCTGTGCAGTAAGTTTCCATATGGAAATCTAAATCTGAATAAGATTGTATATGAAGATAAAATAGGTGTGAGGTGTGTGGTATGGGATATATACTAACCTATCCAAACCTGTGACAGATGGAACTTGATGGAACGATCTTGTTTTATTCAGGGCTCAAAAGTTTTCAGCCTTTGACAGTATAGTCTTACCACTTTCCTATCATTTTCTGTTAGTGGAAAATATTTGAGTTTTCCTTCTGTTGTGACAGGTTCCTAACAGAGGTTCTAGCTTTTATGTGGTGTGTATGTTTTTTTTGTGTGTGTATATATGTGTGTGCGCATGATTATTTATTTATTTGAAAGATGTCACTCAATCTATATTGGGCATAGAAAGTTTTTTTTTATATATATAATTTCTAGTTTCTTTTTAAATGACAAAGTTCCCATTGGAAAACTTTGCTTTTATAGCAGTCATTTTATTCTGTTTGACAGTGTTAAAACATTCGTCCCTGCTCCTTCCTGCATACCTTTCTGCTTTATCTGCCTTGCCAGTTGTTACAGAGGCCAGCCCAGAGTATGTCACAGGGCTGTGTGGTTGCTTTACTAAAGATTTGCAAGACAAAGCCCTCAACTCCTGCAAAGAAACCTTGAGGAACTCATTCAGGAAAATAGAAGCTTGTTTTGTCAAAAATGGCCAAGAATGGAAGGAGCTTAGTAATAATAATAGAGTCTAGTCTAACAATAGCTCAATATGAAGGAGAATTTTCCAAGATAAATGTGTCTTTAGGACACATCTCTAAAGCAAAAGACATGTTTTCCCTTGACATAAAATTAGTGGGGAAGCTGAATAGCACAGATGTATCCATTCAGCTCTTAAGTCTTTTTCTTGATCCCAGTATTGGAAACCTATCTTTAAGCCTATTCCTAATAAGCAAGAGACCAACGTACTGAGATTGAATGAATTTCAAAAATAAGCAGGTCTCTGTTACGCATTCTACCCACAGTTGCCAATGGAGTTAGTTCATCGTTGGCTCACAAGGCAGTAACAACAGAACGTTTGTAAATGGAACTTAGAGGCAGACTGCTTGGAGTTTGAATTGTACATATGCAACTGATTAGCTATGTGACCTTTGGCACTTTAGTTCCTTTTTCTTTAATTGTCATTATTGGAGGTCCAGTCTCCAAAGTGGCCTAGTTAGTTACTACTTTACTACTGGTTGAGGGCGAAGTTTAGAGGAGATTTTTTTGTTTAGAATTTTTCCAGAATAACCCATGTTTCTCAGGACACGAAAACCTCCCCTATCCCATGGAACACCGCTGATGTTTGTTTTCCTTTCCGGAATTTCATTTGTGGCATATTCCTTGTGCACATTTGATTCTTACCTTCAGCTGTCTATCCCAGTTCCACAGTGCTTGTTGTCACAGTTGCATGTAAGCAGAGGAAAAAGTCTGCACCTGAAGTGCTTCTCTTAGAATAGGAAAGGTTTACGTGCGCTTCTTGTTCATCATTCCAACAGGCATTGATTTGAATTTACATGAAGCTTTTCCTTTTGGGTACATTTAGGTCTGAGGTATAAGAAGAGCAAGAAGTATAAAGATCCCAATTCGTGTTTGGGATTTAGACAGTTCTTGTACATTGTGGCATCTGCTTGGGGAGCCGGTGAACCCTGTGCAGTCACGCTGCCTTCGAGAGCATTTTCTGTGTCAACCTCCAGCTGCCCAGAGTAACACTTTGCCATTACCCTCTGACCATCCCTTATTTTACTGCAGATCTTACTCTAGCACCTCCATAGAAGAGGCCATGAAAAGGGGCGAGGACCCTCCTACCCCGCCACCGCGGCCACAGAAAACCCATTCCAGAGCCTCCTCCTTGGATCTGAATAAAGTCTTCCAGCCCAGTGTGCCAGGTGAATTCAACACCCTACCTCAGCCCTTGCCCTTCCTGTTGGAGTCAGTGGATACGTATCAATCCTGGAAGCTTTTGGGAGTGCAGAGGATGAGCCAACCTGGCCATTCCTAATGCCATTAAGGGCTTTCTGTTGCTATGGTAGTCTCTCTAGGGTGGGAGGTGGGTAGAAGGCAGTTCCAGATTGATACTTAGCACACGTATCTGGCGCATTGCCCACACTAGTCATGGATCAAGAATTAGGAAATTCTGTAGCAAGAGGGGAAAAGCATTGACACCCCAGACAGCCCCCTGAGCAAGTAGTTGGAGTCTTGTTCACGGCATCATGGTATCTCGCAAACAAAGTTGCTGTCTATCATTTCCTCAGACACTTGTGTCACTCGGTTTTGATTGACCTTGGTTATAAATGGCTTTCTAGACCTGTCTCCTGCGTTCCTTTAGAATATCACATGTCCTGTTGGGTTTAATGCTAAGGGCATTGCTTCTAAATCTGACCGATAAATGATTGGGGGACGGCTCTAAGACAGTGGGCCCTTAAAGTGGGAGTTTGAGGCTTCTGGAAATGGGGAAGGCCATAAGAACCTGGCTGAGGCTTCCCTCCCCTGACTCCGCAAGTATCGGAGGAATAGAAGATGAGAAGCCTAGCTGTGCCTTAGTGAACGGGATCATCCCAAATGTTATTTGCGGAGCAACTAGGGCTTTTCCACTGATGAATGCAGGCAAGCTAGATGTGCAAGCGTGTCCTGGAGTGCTTTCTGTGTTGATGTGTATTTTAAATCAAGCCAGCAACAGATGTCAGTGATTTGAAGAGTCTTTGTCTCCTACAGTGAGAAAAGACTCTCCTTGGCTGACACATAGGCATGACCTTGGTGTCTGAGCAGAGCACAGTGTGTTTTATTTGTTCTGATAAAGTCCTCTCCTTGTATTAAAGTTAGAGATTGTTTTTTAATACACTAGAATCTGGAACTCCCTTTGAAATTTGATTATCTGCCATGAGTTCATCAGGCAAAAATTTGCCTTGAATTTCCCTCCATTCTGGCATAAATTCACAGTCACTGGTATTTGGGGTGGGGAGGCAGCCACGGATGATGATGCTACAAAAGCTCCACATGGTGGGTAGATTATGACCTAGGCAGTTTTAAAATGGATCCAAGAAGATTGAACCAGTCTGGGCAGCTATCTCAGTACCGTCCCCTTGTAAAAGAGTGAGGCAGGGCAGCGGACACATTGCTCAGGTTGGGTAACCAGCTAGAAGATGCCAACTGGGTTTGAAGACTGATGTCTTGGGGTTTTTAAGACAACCTATGCAGTGGAGTTCTGGTAACGTAGTGGTTACAGATCAGGCTGCGAGCCTTAAGGTCAGCAGTTCGAAAATGCCAGCTGTTCTGCGGGAGAAAGATGAGGCTTTCTGTGCCCATAAAGATTTACGGCCTCGGAAACCCTGTACAGGGTCGCTATGGGTCGGAATCGACTTGACAGCACTTAACAACAGCAACATACAGTGGAGTCCTAGTGTGGTGCTATAGGATAAGTACTGGACTGCTAACCGCAAGGTTGGCGGTTTAAATCCACCAGCCACTCCTTGGAGACCCTATACAGGGTCACTATGAGTCAGAACTGGCTCAGTGGCACTTAATAACAACACCACCAACAACAATTCATAGCCTTCATGTTGACCTCAGAGGCTGTGGGCCTCTGATCTCCCCACTTGAGCAGGAGGTGGCTATGATGATGCTTATTGGCTGCTGCACTGGGTAATTGTCCCTCCAACCCTGGCTCCCCTTCCTTCGGCCCACTTTTCCACAGGCTGTCTTAGCCCTGCCCCCCTTCATAACAATAGAATACAAAGGAAAAGTCTGAAAAGAGGAATAAATTGTGAGATGAAACAAGAATGAGTTGAAAGTGAAAGGTAAAATTCAAGAAGCTAATGTTAAAAAGAAATTCACAGGATGTACAAAACAGTGAATGAGACTAAGTTGCCAAAACAGAGATGTAGCTTAAGTGGCACGAATGAAAGAGGACAAAGATGGGGTGGTTATTACATAGGCGTGAAGGTACTTATACAAAGGAAGACGGAGGAAACTGTATAGAAGACTTTAGACTCAGTTCACTGCAGGCTTGAAGGTCACGATTTAGGTACGATTTAAAGGAATGACTTAGAAGTGGTTGGCACTAGTGCCTCTAAATTTATGGAGATGGGTGACATGATCATGGGAGACCATGACAAAGCCTTTTGTAGAATGTAAATCTATAAAAATGAACACGGCCAACTTTGGAAGTGATGGAACAATTTGGCTTAAATGAACTTTGAAGAGAGTAAGAATACGATTTATAGGAACCTAGACTATGGTTCAAGCTCACCAATCACTCCTCGGAAACCCTATACAGGGTAGCTATGGGTTGGAACCGAGTTGATGACACTTAACAACAGATTATCCCAGCCCTGGTGGCATTATAGGATAAGCATTGGACTGCTAACCACAAGGTTGGCAATTCAATCCCACCAGCTGCTCTGTAGGAGAAAGAGGAAGACTGTAGAAGAATTGATGCTTTTGAGTTATGGTGTTGGAGGAGAATATTGAAAGTGCCATGGGCTGCCCATAGAACCAACAGATCCATTTTGGAAGAAGTGCAGCCAGAGTGCTCCTTAGAGGCCAAGATGGCCAAACTTCATGTCTTATACTTCGGACATATTGTCAGGAGGGACCAGTCAGTGGAGAAGGATATCATGTTTGGTAAGGAGGAGGGTCAGAGAAAAAGAAGAAGACCCCCAATGAGATGGATTGGCCAGGTGGCAGTATCGATGGACTCAAGTGTGGCAACAGTAGTGAGGTTGGCCCAGGATTGGGCAGTGTTTCATTCAGCTGTGTATAAGGTTGCTATGGGTCAGTACCAGCTTGATGGCACCTAACAACAATAACAAGGTGTTGGCATCAAATCAAGGGTGTGGATTTTCACAGGGAGAAGCTGCTATGATACGGTCACTGTGGGTATTCGGCAGTTCACCATTTGTAATAGCTTATCATGCAAGCTCTGGTAGCCTAGTGGTTACGAATCGGGCTGCGAGCCTTAAGGTCAGCGGTTTGAAACTACCAGCCGCTCCGTGGGAGAAAGATGAGGCTTTCTACTCCCGTAAAGATTTACACCCTCAGAAAAAAACCCTGTACAAGGTCGCTATGGGTCGGAACCGACTCGACGGCACTTAACAACAACAACAACAATCATGCACTGGCTGCCAGCTCTTCCGTGGGAGAAGGATGAGGCTTTCTGCTCCTGTAAAGATTTACAGCCTCAGAAACCCTGTACAGGGTCGCTATGAGTCGGAACCGACTCCATGGCACATAACGACAACAACAGCATCATGTATTGGACTCATGTCTCTCCATCATCCCAAATAGCTGTTGTGTTTGAGTGGCAATGAAAATGTACAGGAAAGACTAAAATTTGTGGTGAGGCATGTGTACAAAATCTGGAGACCATCAAACCTGAGGCTTGCCCAGTGATGGGCAGGTTTTATGGCCTTTGTTGTTGAAGTTTCTGCATTAAGCACACTGGGAAGCCAATACTTTCTTGATCCATACCTCCTTTTTTTCATGGAAGCAGTTGTTTTCATGAAGGAAGTTTTTGATAGAAAGGATTTCTTGTGCTCCACTGTGTGGTGTGGGGAAATGCCCCTCCTTCCACAGCTATGCCCAAAGGTTGGCAACCTTGGGTTTCCATGGAGACAGTTAGAAGCTTCTGTCTACTGCACAGCTCTGTCCCGGGCACTCAGCATCCAAGTGGCAGAGGGGCCAAGTGTGTGTGGAGGAGACAGAACCATTTTTTAAAAGCCATTTGAACTGCAAGGTTGGTGCTTTAAGTTCACCAGCTGCTCCTTGGAAGCCCTATACAGGGTCACTATGGGTCGGAATTGACTTGATGGCACTTCACAACAACATCAAGCCCTTTTTCACTGCCACCAGAAATCAGCAGAGGCCTGGAGAGCCCTCCCTTCCTGGTTGAGCAGCCATATCCCCAGTGAAAGAGAATGGATACTGGGGCCCAGCTTTTTCTATCATAACTCACTTGGCATTCGACATTGCAAATCACAATGTTGTCATGTATAGAGAAAACCCAGCCACAAGTAGTATTTGCCTGTGGGTGAGTGAGTTCCTTGCTCTGCTTTTGGCATAACACTGATAACGAACTTTAAAAAGTCAGTTCATGGTTAAGAAATTATGATGTGTCCATAGTGTCTTATGAAGCTTTTTTGAAGAACAAGGCAGCCACTCTGTCTTGGAAAGATATGTGATATAAATTCAATAGAAAAGGCATGGTGTTTATACCTATGCTATAAATGTATAGTGAATTTCAGAAAGGACAGTTTCCGGAAGAGCCTGACAACAGTGATCACCTGTTGGAAGAGAGGATGACTGGGAGCAGAAAAGGGAGGGAAACGGACTTGCCTTTGAATTTATCACTTTTAAGTTTTATACCATATGCAAATATTGCCTATTCGATAAAAAAATTAATTCTTTACTACTAATGACCAGGTAGTACATTTCTGGTCTCAAACTTGCCTGCCATTCTGTGTCCATGGTCTTCTTGTGACCATCTGTTACCACCTGATAGAATGTAGCTGAAATGACAGAAAGCATTCCAGAGCATTTGAGGCTCTAAAAGTTTATTTGGGTTCTTTATTACTTTCTCACTTCTTCCCAACATCGAGGAATAGTTTGGAGGACTTACCAGGCCTCCACTGGGAGATGTACAGTTGGGAAAAATGTCATGGTAAGCCCTAGGTCTTAACTAAGAAGGTGAGGTGTGTTATCTATTGAGCAGCAAATGGATAATGGTGTATATTGGGTATTCTTAAATGCTATTTCTTTCTGCAGTTTGGGATAACGGAATGTCCTCAAGATGTTCTAGATTTGATGTTCTAGATGTTCAAGATTGTTCTGTCTCCTGTATTTCCTATAAAGTGGTAGGTAGATTGAGGCTTGATCTGAATAGGAGTAGACT